TTTTCCTTCTTATTATACTTGGAATTCTTCACGCTGTAAATGGACACCTAGAAAAACATCAACGACTATGATTGGGCAACTTTACATGGTACAACCTTCTGAAGGCGAGAGATATTATCTACGAACTTTACTTACCTATGTAAAAGGTGCGACCGGCTTCGATGACTTAAAAACTATCAACAGCTATACATGCAATAGCTTTAAAGAAGCTTGCTCTTATCTTGGTCTTCTTCAGGATGATACTGAATGAGATGCCTGTTTGCTTGAAGCAAGTGCTGTACAGACAGGACACCAACTTCGACAGCTTTTTGCAACCATACTTCTATTTTGCCAACTGGTAAAATCTGAATTGTTATGGGATAATCATAAAGTAGCATTGTGTGAAGATATTTTATATCGAGCTCATATACAATTACAAGATCTCGATGATGCGAGTGATATTCCTATTGTAATTGAACATGAAGCCTTTACTCAATTGAAAAATATACTTTTACTAAGTGGAAAATCTCTAAAAGATTTTCCCGATATGCCAATTCCTCTATCACTTCAAATATCAGTAATAATGAAGAAACATTAAATCATCTAATACGTGAAGAAAGATCCTATAATATAACAAACTTACAAGCCGAATTACAATGCAACATACCTTTGTTAAACGATGATCAACGTGCAGTGTTTGATGCCGTTACAAGAGCAATTAACAATGAAGAAGAAGAATGTTTTTTTGTAGATGGACCAGGTGATACAGGAAAAACTTTTTTATATAACACTTTACTAGCAAGTGTTAGATCACGTTGCCACATTGCTTTGGCAGTAGCCTCTTCAGGAATTGCAGCACTTTTAATAAAAGGTGGACGAACAGCCCATAGTCGATTCAAAATTCCACTTAAACCTAATGAATCTTCTACGTGTAATATTTCACAAAACAGCAAAAAAGCTCATTTAATCAGCATCGCAAACCTTATCATCTGGGACGAGGCTCCGATGACTAATAAGTTTGCATTTGAAGCCCTTGATCGTACATTTCGTGACATTATGCAAGTAGATAAACCATTTGGGGAAAAGGTCATTGTTTTTGGTGGTGATTTTTGTCAAGTACTACCTGTTGTACCCCATGGTTCCTGCGCAGATATTGTTTCAGCTAGCTTACCCCGCTCTTCATTATAGATACATATGAAAGTCATGAAATTAACAATTAACATGAGACTGCAGCGAACTAATGATATTAATGAGAATCGGAGGCAAAGAGAATTTGCTGAGTTCCTTTTACAAATAGGAGACGGAACTTACCCGATCATTGCAGATACAGAAAATAGAATAACACTCCCTTCTGATATAGTCGTAGCTGGTGGAATGTTATCAGATCTTATTAATTCTGTTTATCCGAATTTCATCCAAAACTCGAATAATATTAATTACTTAACTGAAAGAGC